TCTCAGCGCTATCTGGAGGGGAGTGAACTTATGGAGTCTTTCTTCCCCGTCTGATATAACCTTTTTATCTATCTTTATTGCTTCTAATTTTCTAAGGAGCAATTGCTTTTCCTCTTATAAATGAACTCTTTTCCTTAATTGTTCTACCTCTGAGATCATATCTGAATTGGGGTATTTTATTTCTCTTATATTCTCTATATCAGGTTCGACGGGAACAGTGGGAGGAGGACGAGCAGTTAATATGGCTCCTACAAAATCATTATTATCTTCATTTTCTCCCTCAGACTCTTGAGGAGCTTTCTTGAATTTTAGTTAGATCAGGATACAATTTTGACTCTTTCTCCTTATGTTCTGAATTATGTGATTTAACTTCTCTTAATTCCTCTAAGGATTCTTTGGCCTTTTTGAGGTGTTTATCTAAGCCTTGTACATCCCTTTTTTGTAAGCACTCATTTATTAAAGACCAGAAAGAAAAGGTAATGGCTGGTACACTGTCAGAATTATGACTCCTTAATTTTTCATTTAATTCTCCTCCTACTCTAGCCCAAACATCTTCAGTTATTTCATCTATATCACTGAACCAAGGACAAGTTTCGTCCACACAATCGAGAAATTGAAACAATGACTTTTTCTTTGCCTTAATTCCTTTCTCACTGAGTAAAGACTGAATGGCTGTGCTGAATTTCATCTTAGATCCTATGTGCCCCATTGGTACCTGCTTCTCCGAGGAATTTCCCTGCCACGCGTTCCAGACAGCGGTGTCCCCCTTGTTTCGGTTCGGCCGAACCCTTTCTAACAGCAGGCTTCACTGATTGCTCACTGATCGCCGCTTCATTCAGGTCCCTGTTTGGACGCCACTTGTCGTGAGCCGGCAACACAGAGCACTGTCCAGCAGTGCCTCAAACCTGAAAGAGCAGCGGGGTGGAGATGGGGCAGAGAGAAAGGAAGGACACCAAGACAAGAGTCTGATCAAGGCGACATTTATTGCAGGCAAGCATCAGACTTTTAAAGCAAAAAAAACCACAAACTATTATGGGCTGGGATTACCATAGTAACCTTAACAGCTGCTTTACAGAAATGAAAGTTCACACAGGAAAGAGGAAAAAAGACTCAACAAAAACAACTATTATGGGTAGCAGTAACCCAGACAGCCACATGTCTGAAGGTCAGAGATAAGAAGCTGCAACTCTCAGGAATTCCACAAAGGAAATACACCACCTTCTAAGGTGAAGGAACTTAACAAAATGGAGTTACTAAAGTTAACAATACTTGCAACTAATAATCATGATTACCACACATATCCACATGTAAAAGAATGAACTTGGACTCTGGGATGGTTAATCTTAGGTTGTAATTTGATTGGACTCAGAGATGTCTATATGGCTCATAAAAGATTGCTTCTAGATATGTCTAAAGGGTGTTTTCACAACACAACGCATATGAGATGATACACTAAGATTTGTCCTTAAGTGGGTGGAGCAGGTGCCATCCAATTGGTCAGCAGGAGGAAGGTGACAGTGGTAGGGGATGGGGGAACAAAAAAATGGGTGAAAGTTAATTCTCATTTTTTCTCTTCTCTCTCTCTCTCTTCTCCCCCTCTCCTGAAGTGAGCACTCTTCTTTTCTTGTCCTTGTACATAAGAATTCCAGATTCTTCGGCCTTTGGACTCTGGGACTTACAATACCCAGGGCTCTCTGGACTTCGGCCTCAGATTTAGGGTTATACTATTTGCTTCCTCGGTTTTTGGGCATTCCAACTTGCACTAAGCCATGCTACAGACTTCTCTGGTTTTTCCATCTTAGAGGCACCTATTATGGGAGTTCTAAGTCTCCATTACCATTTGAGCCAATTCCCCTAATTAATATATATATTCTATATATTATATATTAATGTGTTAATATATATTATATATAAATCATATCATATATCCTGTTGACCCATTCTCTGAAGAACCCTAATACAGACCCTGTGCTTATATCTTACACAATAATTAACCTAAAATGGTTCATAGATCTAAATGTTAGCGCTCAGAATATAAAACTATTAGAAGATAGGATACAGAATAGCTTTTCTATACACCAATAATGAACTCAGAAAGAAATCAGGAAAACAATTCCACTCATAATGTTGCAGAATTTAAGAGATTGGAGGGACCAACATCTCAGAAACAGGAAGATTTATTTAGGTATGCACCCGCTCCGCAGACTCAAATCTAAAGGCTAAGCCCAGTGTGGGAATCATGATTATTAGTTGTAAGTATTGTTAATTTTAGTAACTCCATATTTGTTAAGTTTCTCCAGTTTAGAAGGTGGTGTATTTCCTTTGTGGAATTCCTGAAAGTTGCAGTTTCTTATCTCTGACCTTCAGACGTGTAGTTGTCTGGGTTACTACTACCCATAATAGTTGTTTTTGTTGAGCTTATTTGCTCTTTCCTGTGTGAACTTTCATTTACTATGGTAATCCCAGCCCATAATAGTTTGTGGTTTTTTTGCTTTAAAAGTCTGATGCCTGCCTGCAATAAACATCACCTTAATCAGACTCTTGTCTTGGCATCCTTCCTTTCTCTCTGCCCCATCTCCACCCTGCTGCTCTTTCAGGTTTGAGGCACTGCTGGACAGTGTTCTGCGTCGCCGGCTCGCGACACCCCAGAACAAAGGGAAGCGCTCTAGTTTTACACAAGTTGCCAAAGAGGGCTTGGTCTAGGGTGAAACTTCTGGGTAGGCAGGCAAGTTTACAGAAGCAGAAAAAGGCAGTTTCTCACACAGTGACAGTCTGTAATACAGCATATCTTGGGGGCCTTGGTTGGGTAAAGAGAAACAGACTCAGAAATAAACTGTCTTTATACAAACAGGATGTTGTAAAGCTGTTCCTTATAGGAACAAAGTTGGCAGGATAAAGAACAGCAGCCACAGGGAGCAGGAAGACTAAAGGGGAACTGCTTCCACTGGGGAGATTTGTTTTCTTCTTCTTCTTTTTGTTGTTGCTTTGGTTTTTTGAGACAGGGTCCCACTATGTAGTTGAAACTGACCTGGAGCTCACTCTGTAGCCCAGGCTGACCTCAAACTCAGTGATCCTCCTGCCTCAGCCTCCTGAGTGCTGGGATTACAAGCATGTGCCACCATGCCCGGCTTTGTTTCTTCTTCTTTTTAAAGTCTACTTTAATAATATTTTAAAAATAAATTAATTAAATATTAAGGAATCAATCTAACCAGGAAGTAAAAAGCCCTCTACACTGAAGAAATAAGTTGAAGACAGTAATAGAAGATGAAAAAACCTCCCATGTTCGTGAATTGGCAGAATTAATAGTTAAAATAGCCATATTACCAAAAGCAATGTACATACAGCTTCAATGCAATCGCCATCAAAATTCCAATGATACTCTTTACAGAACTAGTAAAAACAGCCCTAAAATTTATATGAAAAGATCCAGAATAGTCAAAGCATCCTAAGCAAAAAGACCAAGGCTGCAGGAATCACAAACCCAATTTCAAATTATACTTCAAAGCCACAGTAACAAAAACAGCATGGTACTGGCAAAAAAAGTAACATGTAGGCCAACAGAATAAAATAGAGGACACAGACAGAAATCTATACAACTACAGCCATCTGACTTTGTTTGTTTGTTTGAGACAGGGTCTCACTATGTAGTTGAGACTGACCTGGAACTCTCTGCGTAGCTCAGGCTGGTCTTGATCTCACAACTATCCTCCTGCCTCAGCCTCCCAAGTGCTGGGATTATAGGTATGCACCACCACGCCTGGCCTTTCTTTTATTTTTTTTTTTTTTACAGCCATCTGATTTTTAACAAAGGGGCCAAAAAATTACCTGGGAGAGAAGATAGCCTCTTTAACAATTTATTCTGGGAAAATAATATCCGTATGTGTAAGATTAAAACTAATGGCCAGGGATTTAGCTCAGTGGTGCCACCATCTGCCTCGAAAGTGCAAGGTCCTGAATTCAATCCCCAGTAGGAAAAAAAAAAAAAAGTTAAACTAATGGAATAGTGCAATTGGGTCTACGAGGCCACTCCTCTCCCCTCCTGGCTGGACAATTCCCTTCCACTCACCTGAACCTGAGCAACACCCCAGGACTGTGCCCCCACACCCTTGTCCTAAAACTTACTATGCAGAAACAAAGATAAGAAAAGACTCCTGAGCCTGCCTTGGAAAATTCCAAAATTCCAAACCAGGAAGCATGAATACCATTGACCTGCAGTAAAGTTTCTTCACCTGGAGTTCATTGAAGATTCATGCATATGGACTGCATTTCACACATCCAACTATAACAGAGTGAATTATGGGTTCTATGGCTTGTGTTTAGATGTTCCCCCAAAGCCTTACCTGGAAGAGGTGGGGCTGTCTTTTTCAGAGGTAGGTCAATCTGAAATGTGTGATGCTGGGATTAAGGGTGTCTAATTACTAAACCACTATATGTGAGTGACTGGTTTGGAACAGCCCCAATCCCAGTAGTCTGAGTAAGATAAAAGGGGCAGAAAGATGCTATTAAACTCTCTTGTTGCCTTTGCTACTTCCTGTGCACCACGTTGTTTCTCCTCTGTGATGCCTGTTTGTCTTCCCTGTCTTGGAGCCAGCTGATCATGGACTGAAACCTCTGGGAACTGTAAGTCAAATAAACCCCTTCCCCTCTAACTTTTGTTGCCCAGTATTTTGTTTAAGCAACAAGAAGAAAGTAACTAAGACAATGGGAAAGACAAGTGCATTAGATGCTGTTGACATGACTCAGCACCCTGTTAATCACATTGTCAATTGTGCTGGAAAACCCCAGAAGGAGGTTCCCCAAAATTGGCACAGCATTTTAAACCCCCTACATCTTATGCCTTCTACACCATTCCTAATAACACCAGTAAATAAAAAGAAAGGTAATCTATAATTTACGGTATCAAGATGTAACTGCTGCGATAAGGACTGCACAGTAAAATTCCAATGCAAAGACATGGAAACAGAAGTATTTTCACCAACTCACAACATCTTGATTCTTACCATGTAAGGATCCACAGAAAGATAAAGAGTTCTAACTTGTACTTGCCCTTCATTGATATTATCTGGCAAATTGATTTCTTCTATTCGGAAATTATCTGCCACTGGATTGCCATTTTTTCCTAAAATCAAGGCAAAAATATAAAGTCAAAAGTAATTTTCCTATATAATTATTTTTTTAAAAGGTCACCCTAATACTGAGAACACTCTTTTAAAACAGGCATGAGTAAATTTATAGTCTTGCAACTTCTCTGCAACTGCAGAGATGAATCTACATAAATTCTAAAAGTCATCATTTTTTGTTCTTTTTCTATATTTTGAATATTGCTGTCAGCTTGTAATTTTTTAAAATAAAATGATGATAGGCAAATCATTTCACATAATGTCAAATTATAGGAGTTTGAAAAGTGAAAAAAAATCACATTCAACTTTTCTTAAAATTATGAGAATTGAGGTTTAAAAACTAGCAAGAATAAACACATCAGCCAAAATAAAATGTTGGGTAAGCTTTCCTGCAAGATACCTTATCTCACCACTATTATACTGCTTAGAGGATTTCTTCTAATATTATTTACAGTCTCGATATATCACCACCTTAATCTACCATACCGGCATCATAATTAGTTTTGGTTTGGGGTGTTATTGTTTTTTTTTTTTTGAGACAGGGTCTGGCTATGTAGTCCAGGCTGGCCTTGAACTCACAGTGATCCTCCTGCCTCAGCCTCCCAAATGCTGGGATTACAGGCATGTGTCACCATGCCCAACCATAATTAGTTTTTATTCCTCCACTTGCATTAATAATTATCAAAGACCAGAATTTTCAGTGATCACAGATGAATACATACCAGGTCGGGAATTCAAGACCACTCTTTGTACAATCATCACTCCACGCAGTGATCTCACAAGATTTCTATATAAAATAACTCCTATAAACAGACAACATTTAAATCAAAAAAGATTTCAAGTATTCAACAATTTAAAAATTAAAAAAGAAGTCCATTTGTACTTCTGAATTAAGAGAGGAAAAAAATCCTACCTAGGGTCCAAAAAAGATATACTCTCTTTCAAGAGACTGGCTCCTAAAGCAAATCTAGTTAGACTTTTTAGCTAATAGGAACAAGTTCACTAAAAGTGAATAAGGCAATCTCATTTTGGCCTCAGATAATTCAAGCACATTTATCTTCACACCATCATGATTAAGCGTCCCAGCATGGGTTGATTAAAAGAAAAACAAAGTTATATTTCTCCAGAGCTAGCTGGTTAATCTAGCAGCAAAACACGTAACTGCCTAATTGAGTCATAACCAACTTTTCAAAAGTTGTTTTATTCATTTATCAAAATGGAAATTATTTTATAGTTTTGCTGACCATAAAAGTAATACACTGGGCTGGTGATTTAGCTCAGTAACATTGCACCTGCCTTGCAAGTGCAAGGTCCTGAGTTTGATCCCCAGTATCAAAAAAAAAAAAAGTAATACTTTAAATCCCCCCATTATAGCTTGTATCTACATATCCCCCTAAGGCCTTATATACTCAGGGGGTAGGGGGCTTTTCAGAGCTTGCTGGATCTAGGGCATGTGATACTGGGATTAAGAGATTATGGTATTAAATTAGTCCACTGATAGGAATTAGCATAGTTCTGAATGTGACTGAATGGATTTACTTAAAACAGAAGCCCCACCCTAAGTGGGGGGGGCATCACCCAAAAGAATTATAGTCTGGATGAGATAAAAAGGAAAGGCAGGCTCTGTTTGCTGCCTTCTGCCTGCCACACCATAAACTGTTTCTCTTCTGTGATGAACCTGTGCCTCACCACCCTGCCTTGGAGTCAGCCGACTATGGACTAAAACCTCTACAACATGTGAGCCAAAATAAACCTTTCCTCCTTTAACTTATGGGTATTGGGTATTTTGTCTCAGCAAAGAGAAGAGTAAACTAAAACCCTCCTCCCTCTTTTTGATACAAGTCTATGTTACCCAGACCGGCCCTGAACTCAAGTGATCCTCCTGCCTCAGCTTTCCAAGTATCTGGGACTATAGGTTCATGCCACCATGCCCCAAAACATTTTTAAATCTTCATCTTACAGGAAATTCTGTACAGAACAAGATTTATTTATTTAAGGTTTACAATTTGAGCTAATGAAAGCAACAAAATCTAGTGCTGTAACTAATTTATTGAAAATCCCTTTGCTTCATCAGTAGAAATGATAAAATCAAATCCTGGTGTTTCTGCGTGCTAAGCAGAGATGTGAATGTATAGATAATCTCATTTAAACTCCTGACAACTCCTGGGTGTTATTTCCCCATTAAAGATAAGGAAACTGCATCTTAAAGGGCTTATGCACTTACCTGAAGTGGTCAAGATTCAAACCCAGTTACATGAGATTCTTATTTACTATTAAAAGTTTTATTCTACATGTGTTTGATTTTAAAATATTATACAAAAAAATTTTTTTTGGTACCTGGGATCGAACTCACGTCCTTGCACTTGTGAGGCAGGCAGTGGAACCATTGAGCTAAATCCCTTACCCACAAATAATATTTTAAAATTATTTTTCTTTAAGTTAATATATTTCCATACCATTTGTGTTTTCTCATTAGATACTTTACTATCTTCAGTACCTAATACGTTGTGAAGCCCAAAGGAAAGCCATTCTATTAACTGCTTTTTTGTGTGGTAATGGGGATTGAAACCAAGGACTTTGCAATACAGTGAATGTTTAAATAAAGAACAATTTATTACAGTAAATGATGCATTGCCTTTAATCCCCCTCAGAACATTCCCCTCTCCTCTTTTGTGAATGTCTTTAGTTGCACTCTTGTGGCTCCCTGCATGTCCTGAATAGATTAAAAATGCTTACCCCACGTGGTCAATTTGGGGGAAGAGCCAGAAGTTCGACACTGCCAGATATAGTGAATACGGTGGGTGAGGACACACCCTGATATTTTTATGAATCTGCCTTTCCACTGAATGGCACTTGGCAGCTACATTAACCATAATATATATATTTGTTGTTGTTGTTGTTAGTTGGTTTTATTTTTTTTAACCATATATATATTTTTAACACAAAATCAGAAAGTGCTGAGAATGATGGGATAAATGTGTTTGAAGCAAGTAGTATTTTGATGAGGATTATGACAGTGTGTCTTTTACTGTAATAGATTTTGTTTATTTTTGAGACACTGTCTTGCTACATAGTTCAGGAGAGTCTTGAACTCACTATGTAGCTCAGGTTGGCCTGGAACTCACAGTAATCCTCCTGCCTCAGCCTCCCAAGTATGGGATTACAGGTATGTACCACTATGCCCAGCAATAATATTCACCATATATATATCAGTCACACCTCCTATATCTCCACTCCATTTTTTATTTTGAGACAGGGTCTTGTTAAGTCACCAAGTTGTTTAGGCTGAGCTCAAACTTGTGATCCTCCTGCCTCAGCTTCCCAGAATGCTGGGATTATTACAGTGCACCATCACACCCACTTTTGATTACTTATTTTGTACACCCTTGAAATATACACAGCCATCAGCACCATCTCCAAGTGTAAAGCTTCTACACAGCAGCACACTTACACACTTAACAACATCTTAATTTCATTTACATGACTCCACTCAACTAGTCTAAATTGGCAGGTTCCTTGAATGTCTTCAGATTTCTCTGTATCCTATATAGTATCCCTTACAGAACTGAAGTTTATATATCCCCAAAAAGTTAAATAATCATCATATAATAGTCTTTTTCTTTTCTTTTTTGACTGAGATGGAGGTCTCTCTATGCTGCCCAGGCTGGTCTCAAACTTGAGGGCTCAAGTGATCTCCCACCTCAACCTCACAAGTAGCTGGGACTACAGGTATTCACATCTTTTTTAACATCTTGTTTATATATGATGACTAACTCACAAAGAATTTTCAGAGATTCTATCACTTATTTTTGTTTATTTTTTATTTTTTTGGTACTGGGGATTGAACTCAGGTCCTTGAGCTTGCGAGGCAGTCACCAGAACCACTGAGCTAAACCCCCAGCCCTTATCACTTATTCTTTTAAAAATTATATTATAAATATAGCCAAGGCCCCATTCTTCTAAGTTCGCATCAGCATATTCAATTAACTGAAAACTGAAAACATTTTGAAAGAATATTTAGTCCGTGTGGAACATGTACAAATGTTTTATTATTCCCTAAACAGTACAACTACTTAACAATTACCTGCATAGCATTTATATTATATTGTATTTGGTATTATAAGAAACCTAGATGGGCCGAAGATTTAGCTCAGTGGTTCTGGCGCCTGCTTCACAAGCGCAAGGACCCAAGTTTGATCCCTGGCACCAAAAAAAAAAAAAAAAAGGAGCAGTAGCATAGAGATGATTTAAAGAATACAAGAAGATATGTGGGGTTTATGTGTAAATACCACTCCACTTAATATAAGGAATCGGAACATCTCCAAATGTTGGTATCCATAGGGAGTGGGATTCCAGAACCAGTCCTCAGTGGATATGGGGAGATGACTGTTTATTACTGTTCTCATATTACAAAGGAAGTTGATGTAGAAATAGTACTCAAGATTACAAAGCAGATAAGGAGGGAACTGGGATTGAAACACAAATATTCTCATTCCAGATCTCACATTTTCTCATATTTTGTACTCTTTCTGCAAAATCTCCCCCCAACAGGCTTTTAAGTACAGAGCCATATATAGTGACCTCTCACTTTCCTGCAGGTACCCTATCCTAGCGTAGGGTTGTTACTGATTAAGAACAACTGTAACTATCTAGGGCTGGGGGATGTAGCCCAGGAGTAGAGAGAGCCCTTGCTTAACTTATATGAGGCCCTTGGTTTGATGCCCAGCACCACCCCCCAAAAGAACTAAATGTCTGATGCTAGTGACATTCAGTAAAATAGAATGAAGAACACAGAAATATAACTTATCTGCATCATATTTTATAGTGGATATATTTATAATCTCACTAATTGTAGCAAACACAGTTATTTGGCTTCAAAACCCATTCTTTGCTTCTGGACAGTGCTGTTCAGATAAAAACTGTATTTTCCAGCTTCCCCTTAAAACAAATCCCAGGATCACCCAAAATTCCTCCAGGTAAGCACGTCTCATAACAGAGATTATACTATTATACCTAATAGAATAATACTAGTGTAAGACTTGAATAGGCTAAAGTGGCTCCATGCTAATAGGCCAGACTGTGCTTCTTCATATGCTAATTGCTACCTTGGTTAACAGCCCGCCCAGGGACAAATGGTTTGACAAAAGGTGACCCTAGAACATTTCCTGCATAAGATAAGCAATGTGTTTGCAGTCTTGTTCTGTGAATTCCTTGACTCTTTGTTTAGAAAAACCTTATAAAAAGTACCTCAGCCCCTGAGCAGTTGCCTCTCTGAGCCACCTGGCTCTGGGAGTGCCGTCTGGCCAGACTAATAAAGGTCTTTTACCATCTAGCCTGGTGTGTTCCTTCCTGGGTTTCTCGGTTCTCTGTCGTGTTCGCGGAGCCTCGCTGGGTGTTAGGGCCCAGCATCGTGGAGGCCTTTTGGCTGTTCACGCTCCGTGGAGTGGAAGTGAGACTTTAGGTCTTACACTAGTAATTCCTTAACATCATATAACACTGAGTGCATATTCAAATCCCTGTGATTGCTTTAAAGATGTTTTTTACAGTCGACTCACTGGAATCAGGATTCAAAGTTCACATGCTACATTTTGAATCTCCAGTCTGTGTCACGCCATTGCTGTGTTTCTTCATTCCTTTGTCTTCTGACTGCTTCCTTATAAAGAGTCATTTGCTTTTTTTCTTTTCTTTTCTATCTCCTCCCCATACCTGTGACTGGCTGCATTGATCTGGAGGCTTGATTAGATTCTGTTTCACTTTTTTTTTAAACAGGAATCCTTAAATGTCATGATGCATGCATCTTTTTTCATCAGGAACAATCTCCACTGAATCACCATATTGTGTATGTAAGCCATGTATGGGTGACAAAGCAAAGTTTTTTCAAATAAAGTATTTACAAACTGTCCTTAGTGGTGATTAATTGCACTATGATGAATTTTTAATCAAAGGAATCTTTCCAAACGAGGTTTCATATATGCCCTCTTCTCTACTTTTAACAGTATGCTTTATTTCTTTAAAGTACACATAATTGTAGAGTACTCCAAATACTGCTTATTAGCATGGGAAGTACACTATTATAGTTCTTTTCCTCTGTATTAGAAATTTTTCAAGGGCCAAATACAATTAACTAATGTAGGATAGCTGTACAATAGTCCCCAACAACACAAGCAACACACTCAAAATATAAAGAGCTCGATTTATCACAAAATTAACATCTAAAATAAGATACTCCGAGTTCAAGAACTGAATCCTAGTTGTCAAGTATGATATGAAGTGGGTTCCTAAGTGTGCTAGGTAACTTGCCAAAACAATACCAAATGGATGACCAACTAAAAAATTTCTCGGGTGCCTGTCATAAACAGCATGTTGAGAACCTACCTTACAGCCTCCTATAAGGGCACGATCGCTACACAAAGAAGAGCAGAGTTAAGTGTCCTGGTTCTAGTAAGCGGGAACTTAGGAAAGTCCCCTCTCTCAGCTCAGCCTGTTTCCTGTCAAAAGTAGAGAAAAGGGCAGATATTGGAACACTAGAGCCCATACTCACCTACCATTTCCCTAACATGAACGTCCTAATACGTGGTGTGGAGAGTAAAAAACCCAGCGCCTCTTGCATGCAAACAAGCACTCTTCTAGAGTACTAAACGGCACCCCCAGGCTCTAACATCTTTTAGTGATACTATCCTTATTTTAAATTATTCTGTACAAATGTCTCTTGACCTTTGCCGTGTCTTCACCACGGCTCTTCCCTTTCTCAGTGACCTCACCTTGCTCTGTGGCTTCCACTACCTACCACTATAAGGAAATTACAGTACTTAACCTGCGTCTCTAGTTCAGACTTCCAAACTGACTTTCTAGATTGTTGGCGCCAACACGATAAAGATTTGTGTCTGCGCTGTGCAGTGATTTAAATTCGCCCTCTATCCCGGCACAAGGTAGGTGCTCAACAGACAAGTGTTAAATGAAAGTCCTAAGGGGCACCTCAAGTAATGTCCAAACTTTGAGGTTATCTCGACAATTCTTTAAAACAAACAAACTGGCCGAGGGTGCAGCTCAGTGGCGCAGCGTCTGCCTTGCAAGCGCAAAGTGATGAGTCAGACCCCCCAGTACGGAAAAAGGAAAAATGGGTGTTCCCTATCCTACAGTCCTAGGCAGTAACACCAGGGTCGCCAGCAGCTCCAGGAGGAAGCCGGTTCACGCTAGTTCAAACTCCCCTCCCTTACCGCGCGAGATTTACCCAGTTTCGGGTGTCGCAGACTCAGCGGCCACCAGCGAGCGAGTCACTCGAGTCGCTTCGCCTCCGCGGAGGTTGCGGGCTCCGGTGGGAGATCTCGCGCGATTTGACGGGAAGGAAGGGGCAGGCTGACCGCGCGACTTTGGTCCTCCGACCCCACTACGCAGGCGCAGGCGGCTGTTTGCGCGCTATTACCTTTCCTGAATGAGGGAAATGCGGACTTTGGAAAGATAAGTCACAAACAAGTGTGAGCACAGTGCATTAATAAATTAAGTAGGATCGGTGCTTTGTGGCTCCGCTAACTGCCTGGATCCAAGAGCAACTTATTCTGCCCTGGCCAATGAGTTCATATACAGCAGTCCTTGAAGGATTTTATTCACATGGACTTCGGATTGGGAATTGACGCTGTCAGAAACCCTAATCAGGCCTGTCCCTTGCTTTGTAGATGGGGCAGCCACGGGCCACAGAGTTGATATGGTTGAACCAACCACTCATTTTTCAGCCAATTAAGGGCACCGATGGGGTCAAAAACCCTTCCTGGTGCGTCTTTATGACAATATTTAGTATTTTCTTTCATAAAGCATTCCAAATTCCTCAGAAATCGATTAGTTAATGTGGGCTGCTTTCTCAATTTCATTAGTTAGTAGGTGCCTCCTACTATGGTGGACGAGGTTGAAAGTTTATTCCTAGGGCGGCTTTGGATTGCCAGGGACCTCAAATCCTAAGAGAATTTTAGCAGATACATACAAGAAGTGCTGTTCACATTGAATTCGTGTGGGTCCTAATAGTGCAGCACATGTCATGGAATAGACTACTTGAAAAGATGACTAGCATGGTCAGCAGGGGAATAGCAGTCAAGTAGGCTGGAGCTCCTGGTATCTTTACCTTGGAACATTCTCACTTCTTGTAAAAACTAGATGGGGCTGAGGCAGGATATTAGGAATTGAACCCAAAGCTTTTACACATATTTACAGCCCCAACCTTTTAAAAGTGTTTAAAGTTGTGAGACAGGGTCTAGATAAATCACTGAGTTGCCCAGGTTGGGCATGAAATTTGCAATCCTCCTGCCTCAGCCTGTAAGAGTTCCAGTATCACAGACTTGTGCCACCGTGCCAGACTTGCAAATACCTTTAGCAAGGATTAATTTTTTTTTGAGGTGGATCTCACTATCTAGACCAGATAAGCCTTGAACTTGCTGTGTTCAAGCTGGCCCTAAATGGGAGATCCTCCTACTTCAGCCTCTTTAATGGCAGAATTGCAGGTTGGACCTAATCTTTTTTTATCTGTCATGTACTGAGACTTGCATTAACTTTTTATTGTAATAATTTGAACCAATGCAATGAAAAAGAAAATGCTCAGACTAAAAGTAATAGTAGGAAAAAAAAAAAAGGTATTCTAGGGCCAGAGATTTAACTCAGTGGGTCCACCACTTGCCACGCAAGCACAAGGACCTGAGTTCAATCCCCGGTACCACAAAAAAAAAAAAAAAAAAAAAACAAACAAAGTATTCTAAAACTTGATTTAAAAAAGAGTTTTGAAGTACCAAAAGCCCCTACAGTATTAAATTAGTTAAGGTTTTCTTTATTCTAGATCAGTAAATTCCTTGTGATACATGTGATTTTTTTCCCCGTAGAATGAGTTTCTGTCTCCAAAAATTCAAGGAATGAGTGGAGGATTTACAAGTATATTTTAATCTTGTTTCTCCTACTTTTGTTTTGTTTGAAACAGGTTCTAAAAAGAAAGAAAGGAAGGAAGGGAGGAAGGAAGGAGAGAAATAGGGTCTCACAGTCAGGCTGGCCTTGAACTCACTAAGTAACCCAGGCCCTTGAACTTGTAGCATGCTCCTGGCTCAGCCTCCCAAGTGCTAGGGTTATGTCACGTGCCACCACACCTGGCTTTTCTCCTCTACTTTTAAGGTTTTCCTAACACTAAGAATTAGTCAGTTATGTAAAACCTCCTTTGAGTTATGTAATGCCTTATGTAATTTTCCCCCTGTATGATTTAATTTTCAAAACAACCCTCTTACTCTCGTTCTCATTTTACAAGTGAGGAAACTGAGGTTAAATCAATTGAGTAGTAAGTTAGATTGAGCAACCAGCAAGTCAAGTAGCAAGTTTTACCCGAGTCCAAACATCTAACCCTTTTGATGCATTTACGGTAAGTTTGGAGCTGCCTTCTTTTCCCCCTCTGCAGACCTCGTGTTGCCTGTTTCATCATTCAAACAGTTTTTGAGAATAATTACTTTCCAGACTTAATTAGAGGGAAGTGTTAATTATTCTCATCTCTACCTTGTCCAAAAATGCTGTGGTATATATTTCACTCAAGCATGGTAGTAGCATTTAATCTGATGTTTGTATATTTATTCACTAAATTATTTTCAAATTAAAATGACCTCACCTGACTTCCTGTATAGTCATCTCTGTCAGATTGCAAATTACTTAGAGGAAACTCAAGTATGTCCAACCTGTGTAGGGTATAGCACTAAGTGCAATATCAGAAATAATTTGATGCTAAATATATTTTCATAGGAGTGGTAATGGTTCATAATGACATAAATGTAAACCTAAACATACATCCTAGAGAAATAACACATCAAGGTAGTAGAGGAAAACCACACCCATCTCCCCATTAGTCCTGATTCCTCATTAATATCATACTCAAGGTTCATGTATTATTGAATTTGTTTCCCTCAACCTCCTAGCACCTTTTATTAAATTGGGCCTAGGAGAAGGTGCTTGATAACTGTAGGCTGCATAGATGAATGGATTATTAAAGACCTTTATATTGATAGATTTGTCTAACGTTCATAAGAAATACATCAAGAGCCTTCGTGTGCAGCCAGGCGGGTGCCAATGCCACTCGTCCGCATCCAGGAACAGTTCTTGACTCCCTGGTCCCTGTCTGCTGCCCTCACTACCTATTGCCGGCTGGCTGCTGCTCCTGCCCCAGGATGCAGACTGTGATCAACACAGTGGAGGGAGAGGCACTGGAAGTGCCTGAGTACCTGAGCCCAGTCCTCGAGGGATCAAAATTTAAGGAAACAGGTGTATTCACCCCAGAAGAGTTTGTGGCAGCTGGAGATCGCTCCGTCCACCACTGCCGGACGTGGCAGCGGGCGACAGGGGAAGAATTAAAAGTGAAAGCATACCTACCAATAGGCAAACAATTTTTGGTAACCAAAAAAGCGCCCTGCTACAAACGCTGCAAACAGATGGAATAGTAAGATGAATTGGAAGCTGTCACTGAAGAAGATGATGGTGGGGGGATGGGTAGATCCGTATCACAACACAGGTACTGCGAGAACAACTGAAGCAGTTAGGAGGTTGCACTGGAAAACAAGGACAGCATAAAACTCCAAGATTGCTCAGCACTCTGCGAAGCGGAAGGTGAAGGAGACACTGCAGTCATGGAAGAATGTGAAGAAAGTGGATTGTTGGAAATAGATGAGGCTACTCTAGATACCAGGAAAATAGTAGAAGCTCATAAAGCTAAAACTGATGCGGGAGGTGAAGATGCTATTTTACAGACCAGAACTTATGATTGATACATCACTTATGATAAATATTACCAGATGCCACAACTAGGGTTGTTTGGCTATGATGAGCAAAGGCAACCTTTAACAGGTGAGCACACGTATGAAGACATCGGTCAAGACCGTGTGAAGAGAACAGTGACCACTGAAAAATCACGCTCATCTCCCACCACCTCCTATGGCTTCCATTGACCCTTGCAGGCATGCTGGAGTGATGAAGAAAATCAAGGAGACAGTTGCAGAAGGAGGGGGAGAGCTTGGCATTCATGTGTATCTTCTAATTTTTTTTTGAAATTTGTACAAGCTGTCATTCCAACAACAGACTATGACTACACAAGCCTCTTCACAATGTAACGAAGAGAACGTAGAATCTGTCATAGTTATTGATTCTGATTTTAAATAACCCAAAGATGCGACCATCGACCATATTTACCATTATGTACAATTTCTCTAATAAAGGGAGTTACATGTTTATGCATCAAATAAAAAAGTACATCAAGAACTTGTGCTAGCTGAGCTTGGTGGTGAACACCTGTAATCTCAACTATGAAGGAGAATCACAAATTCAAGACTGTCCTGGGCAATTTATCTTGTCTCAGAACAAATTTCATAAGGGCTGGGAATGTAGCTCAGTGGTAGGGCACTAGCCTAGTATGCATGAAGCTCTGGGTTCTGTCCCAGCACCACGCCAACAGAGGTAAAGGGGGAGAGGGAACGATGACACGAATGAATCCAGGCACAGTTCTCCTGGGTACCTGCACTCAAGGTCCCTGAAGTCTGCCTTCCATCTCTAAGAAGACAGCAAGGATTTGCTTCCAGGCTTTCTCACCTGGCCCTGGATTCCACGTGGGCTGTTGGGTTAGCGGAAGATCTCAGTTCCTATAAGCCATACCAGTAAAGTGAGCCAGCAAATAAATAACAACATTCATTTCCTAAACTGCTGTTCCCCATAGCAAGCAGACAAAAAAAGAAAGAAAGAAAGAACTCAAGATAGAAGCTGCGTGCAGTCTTTTTACTTTTTAAGCATTTTTGGTGTTGGTGATTGAACACATGTTAAGCATGTGTCCTACCACTGAGCCACACGCCTATCACCTCTTCTTTTCTTTTCTTTTTTTTTTTTTTTGGTACCGGGGATTGAACACGGGTCCTTGTGCTTTGCAAGGCAGGCCACCGAACCGCTGAGCTAAATCCCCAGCCCATCATTTTGGTATGTGCATCTAGCACCATTTCTTTTGTTTTGTTTTTTGTTTTTGGTACCAGGGATTGAACTCGGGCCTTTGCACTTGCTAGTCAGGCAGCAGGACCACTGAGCTAAATCCCCAACCCACCTCTTCTTGACTGTAAAGGAATTTTATGATTTTTGATATTCCGTTTTTCCCATTTATCTTCTTAAACTGGACCCCAACTAAAAGCCTTTGAGATCATTAGGACTAAGGCTTATGTGCCCCAAGAACATAATTTCAGAATATATAAATAATATAGATGAGTTTATGATTTACATAAGATTGTTTTGATTTTGAGTATCTAGCAGAAGTAAAAACAAAGGAAACCTCCAGATTTTCAAAAGATATTTCAGAATTCAAGAATAAATCAAGAAGA